ATTTATTTTAAAAGCATATGAGAGGTATGGGAATCATTAGGTCGGTAGTATTTCTCACAGTTACTCGATCTTCGAAAAACAAGAGGTTCATGGAAGGAAAAGTACATTGATATATTCCAAGTGTTTGAAAGAGACAAGGAACAGTGTTGAAGTTTGGATAACTTGAAATTATTTACTTTCTGAAGAAAACTAAGATTGGCTAACTATGAAGGCAGACTCAGACTAGTGTGTTGTAATGTGGTAAGAGAAGAAAATATAATTAGTTGTATTTAAAGGCTTAGTAAAATTAACTGGCATAATGTGACGGTCAATCCCACTATTCACTGGTAAAAGAGTAGCCCAAGAATTGGAGATGGGTGGTGTTGATTATCTACCTTCTCTCAAGTATATTACTGCTAAATTAGGGACTGTTAACACAGATAGCACGCGTATAGTCTTTGCGCGAAATTCAAAACAAACCAAATCAGCTTGATGGTCAACAGAAACGATGTGTGGGTTGTGATGGAGACCATCATAATTCTGAATGCCCAAAACAATACAATAACCCACTAAATATAAGGAAATTAAAACAAGAATCTACAATATGCACAATAAGACAAAGCAAACTGAAACAAACCTATACAATCCGGAAATAAATGCTAACAGAAAAACACTACTATTACTTACACTTGTAATACACAATATACTGTAGCTACAACATACACTTACGCAAATAACATTCACAGACATGAACCTGAAAAGAGAAGGATAAATCAAAAAAAAAAAAATTGCAAGCCTTAATTAAAATAACAGTCAAGGAGGGAGGAAAAGGTCAAATACGCACCTGACTCTACCAGTTCTACAAAGACCGATGCTGAAACCGGTGTCAACAGAATTTAATGAGCAGCAATTAAACGTTTAGGTAAGGGTAGTGTCTTAGTCAGAGTAACCGGGTCGGCTGACCTAAGCAGCTGTGTCAAAGATTGGCCTCAAGATGCCTTCGAGCCAGGACATATCACAATACACTTTCCAGGAACAAATAATTTGTCATCATAGAAGTGCAATTACGGTATTGACATTGAACAGATCCAGAATGAACTCACACAAAAATAGGACGAATAATTTCAAATAAAACATAAAGACAAATTCACGTATATGAAACACGGGATGTCCAGAATCTAATATCAAACAGTTATGTCCTCTGGTATCAGAGATTTCAGGTAGAAGAGTCTAAAACACCAGACATGGTCGTTAATCAGTGTTTTAATTGCCAACGTTACGGGCACGTCGCAGCAGCCTATAAGTTTCTCTAACGCATGGGCGTCAGCAAGTGGAGCAAGATGGGGCATTTGCCCCCCCCCCCCCTTGAAAAATGAGAAACATAATTATTTCTTTATTCATTCAGCATATGTATATGATTTTTTTATTCAATTCACAATTTCACAATACTCCCCCCCCCCGAAAACTTTGCCCCCCTCCTTGGAATAATGTCTGAGGACGCCCATGTGTGTGAGATGTGATGGAGATTGTCATAATTCTGATTGTCCTAAAGAACATGAAAATTCTCTGTGCTGTAATTGTAAGCAACAACATACCGCAAATTACAAAGGATGTCTAAAATATAAGGATATTAAAACAAGAATCTACAACATACACAACAACATTAAAACAACGGAAACAAATACACAATACATGGAAATAAATAACACACAAAAATTAACCAGAAAAACACCACTGCCACCGACACAATAACACAGCCCACAACTTCACAGTCTTCACCTTCATTTACTTATGCAGCAACATTACATTCACAACCGCACAGTAAACAAATATTTCATCTAATTAAATAAACACAGTCATAACTGAAAAGAACTACTGAACAACAATCTAACATAATTACAAATGTTCAAACAACAAATATCCCGTATTCAGACATACCAAAAACACCTGTAACATTACCTACAAATACAGAAAACAACAACAAATATCCCGTATTCAGACATACCAAAAACACCTGTAACATTACCTACAAATACAGAAAACAACCCAATTACAGAAGCACATTTACCCAAAACACCTGTAACATTACCTACAAATACAGAAAACAACAACAAATATCCTGCAGTCAGACATACGAAAAACACCTGTAACATTACCTACAAATACAGAAAACAACAACAAATATCTCGTATTCAGACATACTAAAAACACCTGTAACATTACTTACAAATACAGAAAACAACCCTATTACAGAAGCACATTTACCAAAAACACCTGTAACATAACTTACAAATACAGAAAACAACAACAAATATCCCGTATTCAGACATACCAAAAAACACCTGTAACATTACTTACAAATACAGAAAACAAACCTATTATAGAAGCACATTTACCAAAAACACCTGTAACAACCTACAAATACAGAACACAACAACAAATATTCTTTATTAGATTGTCAGTTATGAGAACAGTTAGATCTTCATTAATTTTACACCAACATTTTATCAAGTGTTCAAATCATTTGATTTGAGAAGGTAACAGTAATATATATTGTTACGTCTCTGTTCGTTTGTTAATTTCCGGTATAAATTATTTCCGAGGAACTTCAGCGATACAAGTCCTTTCTTAAATAACACTAGTTTATTTTTTCTCGATACAACTTTGTAATACACAGAATTTCCACAGTCACTTTAGCTAAACTGCTTTTATAAACACACGCTATAATTCACAGCGATTCACACACTTTACTTACGGTGCCTACTGTTCGCTTCACTCAATTATCTATCTCTATATCTATCTTTGCAATTCTATCTTTTTTCGCTGGCTTTATTTGCCGGGCTTATATACTAAAAAAGAGGGCGCCTTGGAACAAACTAGAGTTGCCAGGAAAATTCATGATCCTTCGAGAAACTCCAGCACGCATGCACCCAGCGTTGCGTGACTTCGCTTGTCATAACAGTACCAAGGATATAATAAAAATAACTAACAAAAATTATACAATTTATTATTATGCCAACAAGATTCAAATGAGCAATGAAATAAGCTGCTTATTTTAAATTCAAAGAGCATTTTTTTATTTATTAAAAATGTTCTTATATCATATTTATGTCACATAATTTATTACAAAACATTTGTCCTGTGCAACAGCAGTAAGTACACAATAATATCAATAACATATTTGAAAGAAGATATGATATATTAATTTCCTTCTTTAAATTTTTATCCTGAAACGAGATTCATGGTAAAAAAAAAGCTAAATTTTATCATGTTTTATAATAACTCTCTAAAAAACATTTACAAAATCCACAATCTTCAAACTGAGAGAATATTAACTGTATTAAAGTATATATTTAAGTGAAATCTTAACTATGATTGTAGACATGTATCATACATATACTCACATGTTTATTTGAAATATCTGATAAAACCACTTCTTTATCTTAATACTTACAGTTTTATCACTTCTGTGTTTACACATTGCATCTAATAACGTTCTCACAATATTCCTAAAAACAGTCAAGAAATAAATATACAACATTACTTCCCAATTTTCTAAAACATAATAATATTCTCTGAGTTAAAGAGAAGAGAAAATCTAAGTTCATTTACAAAAATATGGGTCAGATAATTCATTTGAATCTATTTGTGTTTTATATAAAATAAGAAAGTTAAAAATCTTTAGAATCCTTTACAGCAAATCACTAGAATATTATTTTATTTTCTGTAGAATACTACTTAAAATAATTACTTTGTTTTCATTAAACAAACCTATTATTTTATAAAAGTATAATAATTTTGTTTTGTACAAATCATTCTGGTTCAGAATGTTTCTCATATTTTGAATTTCATATAAAAAAATTCCTCACACTACTAACAGTAATAGATACTTAAATTTTGCTAAGGTAATTACACAAAATCATACTTTAAAATGAAAGAATAAAAAATATGCCCTATAATCCCCAAGAATTTCACAAACATAATTTTTTGAATAATACATATAAAACATTCCTGAAACTAGTTAAATGGTTACATTAAATTTTCAACTGGAGGTCAAGCACACACACAAACACATGTATATACATGTAATACTGACTGTCTGATATATGTTACTAATGTTTTAGTAAAGAATTTCTACAAATATCTAGTAGTCAATACAGAATGAAGGGAAATCCAGTACTATACACACAAACACACAAATCTATAACCAGTAATTACAAGTGAATGAAATTCATCAAACAAAATACTTCCATGTAGTTGAAAAAAAAAAAACAAGTATAGAATTTGGTCGAGGAGGTAGAATTAATTAGGTTATACAAATGCTTTAATACTGAGTGTAACAATAATTATTAAGTAAAATCTTGTATGATGCATCAAACAAACTAAGAGAACACTTGCATTTATAATGAATACAGACAAAACTACATTAGGCAATTACCAAGTGATACTAGATTAATCCTATCGCTACGGATCACGGGTCAAAGTGTTTGTTGACTTGCATTCAAAATTTTATTGAACTACTATTTTATAAATTCACGTCAATAAGTTTGGTATCAAACTGTAGATTATAATTCAAATTTTAGTATTATACAGTACTAATTTTTTTTAATTTAAAAGTAATATAAAAAACACTTAAACACCGATTTTTGTTGAATGCAGCACTGGTTCAAATTAGATGTTTGTGATATCAAAATACAAAGTCTATAGTTTTTTTATGAATTAACAATTAAAATTATCGATATTAACAAGCTAGAACATAAAATAAGAACCTCCTATCATTTCTATTTGCTGAGATAACACTCCTGTAGTGAATCAAACACAGTGGCTCCGCTCACCTCTTTCCACTTTTGGAAATGGTCCCTTATATACACTTACTGGTATATGTGACACGTGAATAACCAATTGAAAGCTCAGAATGTCCCCTAGTGGCTTTCTCAGCCATTTTCACGTGTTAGGACACCATATCATTCTTTTGAAACAAGATTTCAAGGAGATAGTTTGCGTCTTTAGTCTTCTCGAAACTTCATACTTTTTTTAGACCAAAATACATCTTAGTTACTAAACTTGATAAATTATTATGTAATTCTAGGGTATTGATGAAGTAATTTATGATTTTTTGCTTATTCAAATGTATATATATAAAACCTAAAAAAATTATTTCATTTGACATCCGCCAAGTGCGAAATTTCTTAAGGCTTAGCAAGCTACATGAAGCAGCAACCAAGTGCAAAGGTCATAACAAGTAGAGATAATTGTTTGCTTTCCTTCTTCATTTACTGTTCTATGTTTTAAAAAAGTAAGCTTAAGAACTTATTTGTATATAGTAATAATGTATATACATATATATAATGTATTATAACTGAAATATGACTGTAATTTTACAAAATACTGGTCCACTAAAGCGCAGCCAAGGCAAGTCACTTTGTAAAGACTAAAGGTCAGATTTATATTATTGGATACGGATAACATGAGTGCAAGTGCACCCCGTCATTGTAACTTCTGTATTGTTAGCCAAGCACGAGTGGAAGATCAATATAATAAAAATAATAAATATATATAAATGAATAATGTTACAAGATTTGATCTATTTAGACTAAACATTAGTGTTTTCATGTTATAATATGTAGTCATTATAGAACAAAAAAAGTAAAATTTATATCTATTTCCTAATTTTTTTATGATGGTTACAACGTCAGTCAAATTGACAGACCCTGTATAGTTAGGGTAGAGAAAATAACAAACAAAATATAAAGTTTTACTGAAAACAAATGTTCAAAATGTATTTGTGAGGTTTTATAGATTACACAAATAATATTTGAGGTTTTTGAGATGAAGAATATTTTTTTTAATTATGACATGAAAATCACTTCGCACTTGGGCTAGTAATGAAACAGACTCAATATTTTCACAAACAAACCTTTAGTAAAAATACTTCATTAAAAAATCTGATTTTTTGTGTACAAAAGACTTGGAATCATTACTAAAAGTCTACCAAACTTTGTGAAGATATACATACAGCATTAAAAGTTATAGTACAAATACTTAATGTGTGCAAATGTGTATACGAACTCATACCGACGGTTTATACCGAGCCCGTCGAAAGGGTTAATAGACAGATTACACTACTGATTGATATACAAGTCAATTAACTTTCAAGAAATGTGTAAATTACAATAGAATTATTTAATATTTCATTCAAAATATCCACAGAAAACTCAAAGCAATATTATGTTTTACAGTGACTTGCTATAATATGTCACAACATGCATTGCTCACCTTTTAATGTTAATGCTGAAATTTGGTTTTTCTTCTCCCTTGACAATGTAAAAGAGTGATGCACTAAAAAAAATGGATAAAAAAACCATCTGAGATTTTTGTTTTTACAACAAAAAGACAGAAATTAGAGTTATGTTTAAGTAATTCATCACTTACCATAAAATACCTCCAAATTACTGTACATAGTAATAATATTAAATGATTAAGACATACAATTCCTGACTTGTTATTACTGCTTGTATACAACACTTACATGTAAGAATCAAATTCAATTACTGTAGATATGTTCAATCTAATTGACAAGTTTTCTCATTGAATGAAAGGCTTTCTAAGCCACATGTTAAATCAGTTAAAAAAGACATTTCCTCAAATGGAACAGGGCTAAATGGTTTCCTTTTATCATCAAATTAATCATTTTACACATCACACAATATATCTTAGTGCAGTACGAGGGTGTCATAATGCTTCTTAATGTCAGACTTTACATTTTTCATTAACAAATACTTGAATTCTACTAAATTACTGACATAAAATTCAACTTTAAAACAAGTAATCAAATATATGTCCTGTAATTCCTAAGCACTAACAACCAAAACTGGGGCTTTGTTTGTCAAATATCACATATAAGACATTCCTCAAAACCAGTTTACAGGTCACATTCACTTTTCATTTTCAACTGGAATAAAAAAAACTCATAAGGTTTTATGAGCTTACTGTAAGTAATTTCGTTTCAATAAGTTCAAAACAATCTGAATATATAAATAAACAAAGATTAATGTACAGTAATGAACAAAACCAAAAAAACTAATTTTTCACCTCAGCTAAATAATTGTATTTGTTGTAATTACATAACTTAAAAGATAATAAATTACTATGTTTATATTTACAACATTTACTAGAGTACGTTACATGTACTTAGAGTTCAATCTGAATAACTTAACTATACAGAAAAGAAGTTAAAATATTCAGAGCAGGCAAACAGAATAAAACAGAACCAGATATTTTCCAGTAAAATTGAATTTGGTTAAACAGCATTATCAATAACTATTAAAAAACACCATTACATTACCATCTAAATCAGAATATGGAGAAAGGCAGTTACACTGATCTAGTGAAAAATTAATCTTCAGTTTTTATGTAATAAAAAATATAAACATATCAGTACCAGCACCACAAACATATTTTAAACATAATTTATATAAATGCAAATATTTCTCCTGAAGAAATCTTAAAGTGCCTCTGTACAAATGCTCATCACCACCTACTGAAATGTCTTTCCTTATCATTAAACCTTAACAATTAGTACTGAAAAAAGTTTTGTAAGAATTATTAAATTTCATACTAGGTTACTGTTTTGGCATCTTATAGTATATACAAAAGTTAGATAATACATAATACGTGTGTGTTTGTGTGTATAAGTAAGAACAAGATCTAGCATTGAAATTTTCCATATGTTAAAACTATTTTCTTTACAAATATTCATTTATTACGAGACTTAGAGAAGATAATTTAGGCAAAAACAACCAATGCCTGTAAAAAAAAAAACATTGTACGTAGAGTGTCAATTCATAAACAGTTAATTTAAAAGTGTCATCTAAAACAAAAGCATGTTTTCTGTAAAAGGACTTCTGTGTTTAAACATGTTTTTGATACTAATATCAATGTTAATTTTATTTATACTTCTAAAAATATAAATTTATTAATCACTTTAATATTATCTTGCATAATCAAGAGCAACTCACATGAGATACTACTTCAAATTAGCATAACAGTATACCAATAAAAGTCTCTGAAAATCATCATTAGAAGGAAGGCTGTAACTTGCAGGAAAACAAGAGGGAAGCCTCTATGACTTGAAATTCTTTGATTCAGGATTAGAGTAAATTGATCTATGAGACCATTTTTTCCTACTTATTAGTTATATTTTTGTGCACCAGCTGTACCACGCATGTGGAGCTCATACAACCAATTCAATTTTATTACTCATCAGGATCTCTACCAGCCTGCCCTCAAATTGAAATTCTTTGGGACAGGATTAGAGTAAATTAATCTATGAGACCTTAAGCATGGTCAAATACATCAGGGTGTGACCTTCTGCGTCCAAAACTATAACTAGATCTCAAATTGGTCAAGAGATGATGGAGCTAGAAGCTAAAAGTTTGCACTTTAAAAACATAATCTCAGAGCCATTCTATGAGTTACTGTGTCATGGCTAAAAATAAAAAATATGAAGATCTTGAAATAGCAAGTGATAAAATTATGTGATTATCACACAAAAAAGTAAATACATTTATGAAAAAACTAAGAAAAGGAGCTGATTTTATGCAATCAAAAGATAACCTACCCTATAAGAGTTAGAAACTGAAATTACCTACAACTTGTTTGTTTGAATATAGCTTATAAATAAATATCTACAGTTTCTATGCTTGTTTTTAACCATACAATTGTGAGTTGATTGTAGAGAAATCGTCATGTTTTGGTGGCAACTTTCAACACAAGAAAATCTGCTAGACCAATTTCTCATTTAGGGTTCAATCTCTTCTTTTGAAAAATGCAATGAAATTCTCAAAATGTTGTTTTAGTGTTGATGAAAATCTTTCCAAAGTAAGGATAGTTTTACTCAGGTCATTCCATTTTGACCTTGATTTGCACTATAAGAATGGTTCTGAACATGATCATGATATCTAAGACACACTGAGCACTAAATAGAAACAACAATAAACAACTTTCTCTGATGAGGTCTGATTAATCATATCTAAGCAGTCAATCATTGAACAATTTAAGACACTAAAAGTGATTAAAATGAGAAGAACAAAATATCTTATTTTTATTATTCCTGCTGCTTTGAAGTTTTCTTTTTTATTTGATTCTAATGTTTCTGGAGAACCTCTCTCTCTCTGACTGCTTTAACTTCAATAGGAAACCCAATTATGACTGCATCCACAATGTTTGTATTTCATGTAAACATCACACCTTCCAATCTTGCACTTGCAACTGAGACTAAAGTAAACATGAATTGTGAACCTTTTCCAGCTTATATTGGCTAGTGTAGCACTGAAAACAGGTTTTTCTATAGGTAAATTACTTTGTAAAAAAGCAATATATTTTCACCATGATCTTGACACAAATGAAGAGAAGAACTCATTTTATAATGAAGATTGTTCTGTATCAGGTGTTTGTTTGTAATTAAGCACAATGGGCTATCTGTGCTCTGCCCACCATGGGTATCAAAACCTGGTTTATAGAGTTGTAAGTCTGCAAACATGCCACTGTGCTATATCAGGTGAACCAATGAACACAAAATTTGTCTTGTTCAAAGGCTCTTGTACTAAATCAAAGTTGACATGCAACTTTAGTGCTTTGAATCCTTTGTTAGATATTGTGATAACTAAAACAGTCACAAATTTCTGTATAACTGCCTCCAGACTTTACGATTAAAATGTTTAAAATTATTAAAAAAATCACAGTGCAGGAGGAAAAAAGGTCCATTTTATTTTATAAGCTTAAAAAAATCACCTTAATTTCATCCATGTATCAATGTAAAAGCTAGAATTTAAATCTACCATACAGTAAAAATAGAATTAAAAAAATCTTACCTTCCAGCAATTTGGATAGATTTTTCACTTATATATCTCTTCATAGCAATCAATACTACATCCAAAGCTAGTCTTGGATTACTACAAGAACCATAACGAAATATATTGAAAAGATCATTCAAGACTTTTTGTAGATACTCGGGTCTGTCATAGTATACTTGAGCAGCTGTTAGTATCTGTTCTTCATTAGCATCTCCTGAAATCTATAAAAATATTTTGATACATTCACTCTGAATTAATAAATACATTTAAGCTATGGGTAATGAAATTAAAATACTGAAGTAAAGCAAGTAGCCAATAAAATATGTTTATCATCTGAAAGTCTTTTATCAGACCTGCTTCAAAAATTACAATGAATGTGCAGCCCACATGTGATTTTGTTCAGTGTATGTTCTAACAGAAGAAGGCTAACATGTTCTTTCAATACATATTGAACTTTATCTCATAGTTAAATGACAAAAAACTAGAACATTGTATATGTGTTTTCATGTATAGAGCACTATTTTTGCTATACCTGTTGAAAAAGCATAGCACACACAAATTAGCAAAAGTTGTAGCATAAACCCTGTAACATTAGGTACACAGCAATAACAAAGTACTTCCAGCTTTCAGTCTTATTAATTATTTGATTAAATTAGACTTTCAATGCTAAAGTTTTGTTATATATTTTTTAATTATGTAACTTTTCCACACTAAAGGCTCCAAGTGCATTATAAACATAATCTGATCATTTCAGAAAAATCAATAAGGTGAATACCACTTAAAAAATTTATACATGTGTATTAACAAAAATTGTTACTGCACCAAAACTTCCACAACTTACTCTCTTAGCCGGAATATGGTGTCGAAAACAAGCTTCATGAAGTGTTCCAAAAAGTCCTAAAAACTCCAAAGGATTATTGGACCTTTTTCTCAATCCTGGAATATCACTCAGGGGAACACACACAGTACTTAAACCTGAGCTGGATAGAGAATAAAAAAAAATATATATATAAACATGTATGTGTATATATGTGTGTGTGTATACACACACATACATATGAACAGAAAGTTTCTGTAAGATAAATATAAATTATTTCTATTTAGCTGTAGGTCTAACATTTTTTCCAGTGTGCAAGATCAGTGTTTCTCAGCCAGACTTGCCAGATGACCCCTACATCTAGGTTTTGGTTGACGAGACACCCCCCCCCATTATAACCACAAGGATGACAAAACAGTTTGTCATAGTTCATACCAAAGGCAATATGTGCACCACTCATACACCTCAAGGTGTCAAAAAAAACAAGTTGACACAGTGCAGATAGCTAGTGACCCACCTGGAAACCTGCCCACGATCCCCAAGGGGGTTAAAACCCGCCATGTGAGAAACACTGATCTAGATAAATGTATTTTGAAGATATGTTAGAAAGAAATAATAACAATAAACACCTATCAGGAATGTTGGGTTATGTCTAATGTTGTTATTCTCCCAAACAAAGCTAACTAAACAAATGTGTGGAAGACAGAGAACACCCTCATGCTAATTTGTTTTTACCACCAATGTAGTATACATAAAAGTTATAGATCCCAGTTGAAATATATCTTTAAACCTACATCAAAAATAATGTACCAATGGTAGGGTATGAATTTCTGTTCTCATTTGTACATTATCTTTATATATTTTGCAGAAATTTATGCTAGAAAAGGTAGCTGTAGGTCACACATTAAAATCTTGATACTATTCTGAAATGCACTATGGATAAAATTATCATAAATAAATGTAATAATAAAATTTAATACTAAATTATAAATTACTTGAACATGTTTGAACTTTTATTTTACCTTACTGTTTGGATGAAATCCTTCTTCATTAAAATATATGTACAATCCCTCTTTAAAGGAACACTTTACTCCTGAATAACATGTGTAAAGTGTAGCTTATTACAAACTAGAATCCCCCCTTGTAAATATGTATTTCAACTCTTTCTTGTAAGTAGTAAATCTCTTTTGACACAAAGACACATTTTTTTGAAATACCCATTATCAACCCATCTGCCTTATAAAGCAGAAAATCCTGAAGTGAGTGACTTTGATATTCATTTCTCAACTACAGTGATGTCACAAGTGATTTAGAGAAACTGTTTAATGAATCAGTTGTTTTGTTTTCTAGCAGCTCAGTTTCAATGGACACATTTCAGTTAATTTTTGTCAAAATGCCTATTTGTTGTGCTCCTGATTGTAACAAAACTGAGATAACATTTCCAGAATTATCTTTTTTTTAGTTTAACTTGGGATAATCCAGAGAAATCAAGTTATGACTTGCAAAGCTTAGACTTGTACACCTTCCAGCTAAAACAGCATGAATAGAAAAGACCATTTTGAAAAATGTTTTTTGCTAGTTGATCCTAAATATGATATTGCACCACATTTGTATCCAAAGAAAATTATATTTCCCATCTATTTTACTCTCACAAACAACCGTGACAAGAACGGTAAAGTACAGAGAACAGATGTAGGAAATGTCAACAGATAGAGGTGAGTTGTGAGAAAATATTCATATAAAAATGGTGAAAACTTGTAAATAAAATAAATCAATAAATGTAAATAATTAAAACATGGTCTTTGTTGTTTTTTTCCTAATTTACCATGTGCCCAGTAAGTGTAATATCTCTTAAACAGCTAAACGTACAAATCTGAAATCAAAATTTGCTCTTAATTATTATTGTTATTCTTATTATTATTATTACTAATGTTGTTGTTGTTGTCATAAACAATTCTAAAGTGGATTTCACTTGTTTGGGGCCTTTCTCAATGAATCATGTATTGTAAGTAGTGACAGCAGTCGCAGAACATTACGATCCAAACATAGGGTATTGGATTGTTCATGGAATGTGATACACCCATCATGATCCAGTTCTATAAGTTTTTCTTTGAGCTTTGGACATTTTTTACAACAAAAAGACTCAATAACTGTTGGCACTGGTAAACATTCCTTGCAAGTACATCAGTCAGTGTTTCCTAAACAGTCTGATCTTATATCATCCAATTCAAGGTCACTGTTATTCTCTGTTTAGATCTTTTGGTCGGAACAGACAGTTCTTCATCTGCGAGTTCTGACTCAAAACTGTACCCTTGTACTTTCACAACATTATCCATTTTAACTAATAATAAATGTATATCAGCTGATCCATGACTATTTTGTTAGCACAACTAAGCACAGGTACAGGCTCAAAAGCTACCAGGAAAAAAACCAAAACATTACACACTCGAAGAACCAACAGAAGAAACAAATAAAAGGCAGCTAATCCCAAAGTGGCATCCCTTTCATTTTTCATAGGTCATTTAAAGACTGTATTGATTACAGTTTGCGAGGTAAATTTTTTTTTTGTTAGATCAAAGCAATGTTTGGCCATTTGCCACATCCACCCTGGATCCCAGTGCCGTGAGTCAATAAAACTCACCACTGTCCCACAGGGGGGACTGAAAAGCCAACAAACTAAAAGGCACAGGAAAAAGCAAATCTAAAGTCTGTCCAAAATGTCAAGGTTCACCTTCAACTGCAGCCTCAGAACCCACCGGAGGACTACCACAGAGCCGAATATATGTCTCCATCACACTACGAATAATATCACGATAGTCTCAAATGCAAAGAAAGGCATTGGTAAAAAGATTCAGATTCAGATTAGGTGGAAAAAAAAAGGAAGAATCTACAACAAGAAACACAAAAATAAGCTTCACTTGTAAGCAACTATAAGAAGTAGGAAAAATTCCAATAGACAACAGATCAGAAAAAAGATTTACAAGAGAGTAATATCCAAATGATGGTATCTGAAGTAAGTATGACTCTCAGGAATTTCCATGTAAAGAGAATCCATTGTTCCACCAATCAGAAAAGATTGTCAGGTGAAGAAAAATAAGAACCCAAAAATTGAGGTATTGCAAAGCCAAAGGAGATGGATAAAGAGTTCCTGAGTGTGTGTTAATATAAAATTTCAGATTAACAAGATATTGAATATGCACTCATAATCAATACATCCAGAGAAGAAACTAACTGGAAGGTCAATGCTGTGTGAGGAAATCACTTAACAAGAATCCTCTAATCATGACAATTAATACTGATCATGAGTAGTAGACCAACTAATGGTCTGAATGCAAGTGCAAAGACAGAGCACTGAAGCCAAACCAAAATACTGACTTTTATAAAAAAAAACCTGCGATCGTACCACATGATCATGAAATGTGCAGAAAATATCAGTATACACCTGCATGATTGCCTCAAAATATCAGAGGTGACACAGTATCTACAATTTGCCCTGCACATTACCATAAATAAGATATAAGGTATAGTAATTCTGATAACAGTGGAAATAATTACATCAAAAATAATGTCGTAGCAAAATAAACAGCATAGCTGTAAATGAGAAAAATCAAAATAGTGACAGAAAATAGAGCTTATGTAACATCCCCTGAAGCTTGTGCAATAAGACTTGTGGAAGATTGGAGAGTGGAGAATTATAGGTAAGTGATGCATACTAGGTAATGAATAAATAACACTCAGAAATTTCTAGTCACGTTTTGTTGATAGCATGAATTACAACTCAACAACAAAAAGCTTTTATCATTTCATAGGGAAGTATACCTGATTTAAATTTAGTTTTACTATCATCTTTATGCTCCCTATTTCACAAAATAGTCAAAACATATTTAACATGTAACCAAGGAAATTCAAAAACATATTTCTGTATACATGTAATTCATTGATTGTAACAAACACTTGTTTCTAAATGCTTTGTTTAATGATTGAAATGTTAGTTTTAAATGTGTTAACCCTTTAGAGGCAGGTCACGGGTTTGTTGACTCGCATTCAAAATATTATTGAACTACTATTTGATGAATTTATGTCAATAACTTTGGTATCAAACTGTAGATTATAATTCACATTTTAGTATTATATATTACTAAATTTTTTAATTTAAAAGTAAATATTAAAAAATACAGATAAACATCAATTTTTGTGTGTCAC